GCATTGGGGACATTTGGGATTAGATAATACTTTGTCCTGGGTGGGCTGTCCCATACTGTTAAGCAATGTAGCAATATCCCAGGCCTCTACCCACTAGATGTCAGCAGTACCCTTCACTTATGACCACTAAAATGTTTCCAGCTGCTTCAGATCCCTGGGAGGCAAGACTATCTCCCAGGGGAGAATGCCTGTCCTAGTCCTACCAAGATCCCCGCTGCACTGCCCACCAGGACCCACAATAGGAAATGAGGGTTTTCTTGTTCACTGGCCGGTAAGCTCTTTGGAATAGGTTTCTTCCTAGGTCAACTTCAAAGATAAAGAAACCAAGGCCCAGAGAGGGGGAGTGACTTAGCCAGGGTCATCCAGCCCAAAAAGAGCAGAGCTGGATCATGAATCTAGTTGTTTGGCTCCAGAGCTTGGGATTTTAGCCCTAGACCACACAGGGTCTTCACAGATCAGTATCCTTCCAGTCCAGTGACTTTTGTCCCCTCCTAGGAAGCCAGATATAAACTGAGACCTGAAGGCCACACTAACCATGGCCTATGAGCCACCCATCACTTCCCTTCTTCATTTCCTTCCACTCACCCCTCACTCTGCCCCAGACACACTTGTCTCCCAGCTCACATTCCCACCACAGGACCTTTGCACTGGCTGTTCTCTCTAGCAGGCACTCTACCATCAGATACCCACACAGCATCTCTCTCTATTTACTTAGGTATCTGTTTAAATGTCACCTCTTTAGAAAGGCCTTGATTGACCTCAGGATCCCTCTGTTCTTCATATTCCATGTGTCACCATCTATAATTATCAGATGGTTTTACTTGCTATTTCTGCTTCACCCACTAGTCTGAGAACTCCRGACAGTAAGACTGGGTCGATTGGATTCTAAGCTGTAACCTCAAGGATGCATGTGTAGAATGAGTGGTCCTGTTTCAGATGAGGAAACTGAGGCTCTGGCAGATGAGGTTCACAGAGCAAGCAAAGGGCAAAGGCTGGCTCCAAACACATATCAGACGTAAAACAGTGGGTTCCGATGCCCCTCAAAATTCTGTCCTCACCAGGCCAGCCTGTGGCTTCCTCAGCCCAAAGCCCCAGTTTCCTGTAACTCAGGAGAGTGAATCTGTTACCAGTGAAAGATGGCGCTGGCTTTGTGGTTTGAGGGACACCGGCTTTCTCTCTGCTGATGTCATTTGAGGAAATGCTTTCTCGAAACAGGTCCTGGCTGCCCAGCCCCTACGTCAGCCATCTCAGCCTTACCACAGCCCTGGGGTGGGAACTTCTTATTTTTCAACCCCATTTTATTGATGAAAATAAAGAGGCACGGACTCTGGTCCCAGGTCAGCAAGTGAGGCTTCAGTTTGAATCTTACCCACTGCTCGGCAGTGGAGGAAACCTCATTTTAACCCTAATTTTGCCCTTCCTCGTTGTGTGACCTTGGACAAGTCATTTCGCCTCTGTTTTCCGGGTAGGGGTGCGCATCCAAGGATGCTGAGCGTTAAAATGCAGGTTGGTGTTGGGAGGCTCTGGTGCTGGCCTGGGGCAGGAACTCCGCGTCCACAACTTTTCGCTCAAGTTCCTCGCCGTCCACCAGGCGGCGTCTCCTCCGCACTTGGCGACCAGGTGGAGGATGGGGGCAGCGATCAGGTCTCAACCCGGGAAGGAGAGGACCTCACCCGCAGCCTGCGGTCGGCCGGCCTGGCGCCCGCTCTCCAGAGCGCTCAATAAGCATAAAATAATAATACGAGACTCTGCGGCAGTGGCGCGATGACTTGGTGCGACGACAGGTGAGGTCCTGGGGCGCACACTCAGGCTGTGCCTTTCTCGCCGTCCAGCAGAGGGCGCGCGGAGAGAGAGACTTTCCGCCACACATCCAGGCACGTGGGAACGCCAGGGACAAGAGGCGGCGACGGCCCAAGTGGAGACAGAGACCGCTAGTCAGAGATAGACCTAAGCCGGGCAGCCCACACCCGCTCCCGCGGCCAGGAAGCGCTCTCCGATGGCGAGAGTTTGGGGGTCCAGGGAGAGGGGCATATCTATATTTTGGCCCCCAATTCAAGCAGCCCCTCTTCTTCCCTCCGGGTCCTCCTCTTCCTCCCGCTCCATCTGCCTCTTGACAGATCGCAGCGGTGCCGTGACTCAGCCTAGCAGGGCGCGCCAGGAGCTCTGTCTCATGCATCCCAGGTGGGGAGTGTGGATGGCATCTCGGCTGGGGGGCAGTGCCTCCTCTCTGGGGGTCCCCAGGACTCAAGTCTAGGGGGATGGCTGGACCCTGTTTCTGGTGGGTGGATGAACTTCAAAGTGGGGAGCGCTGGAATCCCCTGTGTGTGCAGTGGTAGAGCCCCCTTTCTGGCGAAATGCCCCATTTCAGAAGAGAGGTTCCCACTGGAGGTCTCTCTTTCCCCTTCCTCCTTTTGTGGGGGGAGGTGGAGAAAGTGCCCACACACGGCCCCTCCAAACCAGCTGTAGACTAGCTCTGCCCGCTGGAGACTGCACAGACCCACAGTGAAAAGGAAACCGGAGCCCATGCAGGGATGTGGTTCAAGTTCCTGTTTTTTGTTCTTCCCACTCCAAAAAAGCAATGTCGGCCACAGCCTCAACTCCTTGAGCAATAACCTAAGCACTGACTTTGTCAAATCCTTCACAACATCTTGAACTCACAGAACTCTCAAACTGAGCCCCACAGGGCAGTGCCAGCAACAGCCCCACTTTTCGGGCAGGAAACAGGCTCAGAGAGGATGAGATGCTTACAACAAAGACACAGGCGTCAGGCAAATCGGAACTGAAATCCCAGCTCTGCCACTTCCTGGTATTATGAATTTGGGCAGGGGAAGGAGAAGGAATTTCACCTCTCTGGCCAGTGTCCCTATCTGTCCAACCAGGGATACCTCACAGGGCCACTGGGAATGAGGACTTGTGAAAAAGTCCCTGGCATGAAGCCTAAAAGTGAGCCACTAGAAGATGGACACCCTGAAATGACAATAATTGTTACCACTCAGCCACTGTCCCCTGAGAGCTAATAGCCGGGAGACCAGGGTAGGGAAGTCCCTAGAGCCTTAAAAGGGAATGGGGCCTAGTTCCTAGCACCCCACCCCCTCCTTGGTCTCTCAGGACAGTGACTTGAGCCAGTTTGGCTCCCTGCCCCTGGTCTTGGCATTTCCTGTTGATCCTAGCTCTGTTTTCCTTTAGTTTTTCTCTAGTTCCCTTTGGGAAATATCAGGCTGTGTGTGCTGGGCCCATGACACTTGTTTCTTGGTGGGGACAGAGGACTGGAGCTGGGGGTGCCCAGAAGGGAGGTGGAGGTGGCCTGGGGAAGTGTGGTGGCTGGTGGGGGCCTCCAGAAAGACCTAGGAAGACTAAGGTCACAGCCTAGAGACCTCACTGGGGAACTCCAGGGATGAGAAACCCAAATCTGACCATCTGAGCGATGTGATCATCTGAACCATGTCCCAAGGAGAAGGGCACCCATGGGTGGGGCTAAGTTATCAGTCCCCATGTTACTGAAGCACACACAGTCAGAGCCTGGGGCACCATCAGAGTAGATGCACTCACTAAGAATGCCAAGTAAACAGGGGCACAGCTCCAGAGTCAGAATACCAACCCTCAGACATGTGCTCACAGGACAGATGAACGCATGTCACATTGTGTCACACATAGTCCCAGGGAGCACAGATAGTTCCACTGGCACAAACACATTGTCCCCGAGAAGGTACACATTACAGTACCAGACATACATCTATGGAACACTCTCTGTTATTATCACTCTGACCCTGGAACAGAGACACCACCTCACAATCAGTGTCCCGGGAGTAAAGACAGTCACTCTGGCACAATCACTATGTCCCAAGAGGAAAAATAGTCACCCTGTCACAGCCACAGCATCCCTGAAGCACACGCAGTTACTGTAACAATCACTGACCTGGAAGCACAAAGTCATCGTGTCTCAGCCAYGCTATCCTGAAGGCATACACAGTCTTGTTGTCACAATCACTGTTCCAGGATCAGAAACAATCACCCTGCAAAAATTCTGTTTTCCTGAAGCACACACAGTCATTGTCACAATGACTGTGTCCCATGAGGACACAGTCATCCTGTAACAGTCACAACATCCCAGAAGCACACAGTCACACTGTCACAATCACTGTGCCAGGAATACACAGTTACCATGTTACAATTACAGGATCCTAYAAGTACACAGTCACCATGCCACAGTCAGAGGACCCCGGAACGGAGCACATAGCCAAGGCAGCTGGGGCCGCTGGTCATACACCAAAAGCTGGAGCAAAGTGAGTTCAGCCAGAGGATACCACCAGAACAGCCCAACATACACACCCTCACTACACTGTCACCTCAAAGAGGCAGGGACTCCTTGACCTAAGTTAGGACTGTGTGTCCCCTCTGCACTGTTCCCTGCCGCTGTGGAAACTTAACTCTCCAGTGCTGAGATGGGGGACTCCAACTCAACACAAATGCCCCAATACAGTGCTCCTCAAAACAGCCTCTCTGGATTCCTGACCTCAGCTGCTATAAGGCGAGTTCACCAATGCCCCCTTTGCAGAGTCCTCCATCCCCTAAGAGGACCCTGAGCATCCCTCAATCTGCAGATGCCCCTTCAGAGTGCTCCCTAGGATACCCCAAACACAGTTCTCAGTATAGTGGCCCCAGGAACATCGCTCCAAGTACCACCCAGTCTAACGCTGGCCTGCACTGCCACTGACCAATACTGACAGCTGCAGCCCCTTTCCCACCCCAGACCCTGTAAATTCTACATGCAGCATGGCGCCCCCTAAATAGACCAGGGTGCTTCAGTAGGAACCCTTCTGTTGGGTGCCCAAGTAGGGACCGGGTCCCAGATTCCCCCGCAGCTGAACTCCCCCCAGCTCGGCCCCCTCCAGTCACACTGACCCCACCCGCATCACAGCGCCCCCTGCGGTCGGCGGGGCGAGTTGCGTTCTCTCTGCGCGCCTATGCGCTCCGCGCGCGTCCTCAGCCCAGAGTCTTACCGCCTGCAGCTGCCTCCGCCCGCGCCGCCGCCGCTGGTGCCGGTGCCGTGGAAGGACGAGGGCCAGGACATGCGGGTCGTGCGCAGGCCGGGCCGGTCGCTGGTGTCCACGGCGTCGGCGCGCTCTATGGGCCGGTGTGGCGGCCGCTCCGGCTCCGCGCGCTCCGCACTATCTGAGTAGCCGCGCTGCTGGATACGGATGGGGGTCCGCGGCTGCCGCCACAGGTGCTGGGGGGGCGGCTTCAGGGTGGCCTGGCCCTCCCTGGGCCCGGGCAGAGACAGAGACAGGCTCCTCTCCGAGGGGGCGGCCGGGGGCTCCATAGCGCCGGCGGCCACCTGCACCCTAGGAGTCCCGGCCCTTTCAAGCTGCACCTAGCTCAGCTGCGCTCAAGCGGACGCGCCAGCAGCCCCGCGGGTGCGCCCGGCCTCAGTGGGGCCATGGCGCCCCGGGGACAGACCCGGGGGCGCTGCGGGCCGATCGCCCCCGGGCCGGGCGCCGTGGCTTCCTGTCGGCTCCTGGAGCTCTGCTCCGATCCCGGCTGCGCTCTCAATGCTCGGCGCCCCGCTCCGCTCCAGCCCCGACTCCCCCGCCCCGTCCCGCCCCTCCCTGCCCCCCGCCCGCCGCGATTGTCAGCGCCGCCCCCCTCCTCCTCCACGGTCCGGGCCAGTGGGGGGCAGCCACCCAAGGAGGGGGGCCCTCCCCGCCCACGCAGAGCCCCGCTCCCGGAGGGGAGGGGGCGCCGGAACTCAGTTCTCTCTAGAGCGCCCAGCCTAGCAGCGGCGCGCACGGGCACGAAGGAGTTAAACGGTTAATCCGATCGGGAAGAAGACACCCGACTGGTTGCCCGAGTGTCAGTCAGTCCGTCCATCATGGCGGGGGCGGAGTCGGGAGCGGGCCTGTCCTCGCCTCTACCCCTAGCCCGCGGGAGCTTTTGGGGAGTGGTCCTAGTGCCACACGAGCGGTTTCTGGAGCGGGCAGTGGCGGTGTGCCGGGACTCTCCTGTCCGTGGGTCGGAGGAAGGTGACGATGCGTTCCCCGGGCGGGATGTGAGCGCACGTGGCCCCTCCGAGGGTTGTCTGTTTTCGATGTCGGCTTGAAGTGTGCGTGTGCACGTGGTTGGCTGCTACTGTCTGCCTGTTTCTCTGTCTTTCCGCTGTGTGTGTATCTTGTGTATATACGGGTGAAGGATGTGTGCGCACGTGTGTTGTCTGTTTGGAGAAAGGACGCCTCTGCAGGGTCTTTTCTCGTGGCCCGGGGGCTGCGTATGTGTTCCCACGAGCATGGGTGTGTATTGTGGTCCGTGCGTGCTTGCCGAGTTGTGCACACAATTCTTCCCCCGTAGTCTGACTGTGGTATCTGAGGGCGTATATGGGTGTTTTGTGTATGTGTGTGGTCGGCCTGGAGCCTCTTTGGGATGTTTCTGGGGTGTGTCCCTTTAGTCCCCGCGTGGTTTCAGGAGGGCACCCAGTGTGGATACTCCGGCTGCCCACCCACCGCTCGATGTACCATGTACGGCTGTCTCTTCTAAAGCGGTTCTACTGGAGGTAAACTGAGGCAGATCCTCAGTAGCCGCGAGGCGCACCCCGTGCCCTTTTCAGGCGAGTAAACAGCCGAGCCTCGTCCCCCAGGCCCCCGCGGGCAGAACCCCCCTTCCGGCACCTAAATCGGGAGTTGCCGTGACTCACGCTCCCGCCTCCCCCAGCGCCGCGCCGAGCAAGCGAGCACAGAGCGAGCGGGATCCGAGCGCGCCCCCATCCCCCCGGGCCCCGACCGAGCCCCAGTGGCTGCTGGGTTGGGGGTGTTCACGCGCCCCCGTGCCCCGCCCCCAAGGCGGATCCTCGCTCAAACCTGAAAAGGTTTTTTGGTGCTGGTTGCAAGGACCAGACCCTCGCCCCCGGTGCGCCCCTTCTCACGGGCTCCCCAGGGCAGGCAGTGCCGTCTGCCAATCCCCTCCCCCTCCCCCCGGAGCTGTTCTTATTTTTAAAAAAAGGAAAAGAAAAGAAAAAAAATCCTTCCCGTTTCCAACCTCCACAGCCACTTTTCTCCCCGCCAGAGGGGGCTCCGGGCGTAGGCGAACGCGGAGCAAGAACTGGCCCCCTATCAGCAGCCGCGGGGTATCCCAGAAGCCAGAACTGTGTTCCCCACTTCTTTCAGCAACCTCCCCCAAGGCTTCTAAGGGATTTGTAAGGGCTTCGGGTCCTTCTCAGATAATTTGAGGGTCCTGAGCTGGGCCAAATTCTTGGGTGTAGGTGGGGTTTGTGGCCTTTCACCAGAGCGCCGGATGGAGGATGGGTAACGCGGGGAGTGGGGGCCAGGTCATAACTGGAGTTTCAGAAGAAAAAGAGCACAGGGCAGTGGGCCAGGGCTGGTATTTGGAGCTCTGATGAGCCCTGAGCTGGATCAAGCTGGACCTGAACCAAATGGAGGCTAGAGGAATGGGGGAGGGGAAATACACCTCCGTTGGCCTCAGGGAAAATTAGTCACTTCTCCCCCTATCTGGAAATAAGCGCTATCAAGACCTAGCCAGGGACCCTGAAGCCCTCCAATTTAGAAGATGGGGAGGGGGGTCCTGGGACTGCAGAGAGCAGAGGCCAGGGGATGCGGAAGGGGGCAGGGGCAGGCCAGCAGCCAGGCACAGCTCAGCTCTTTGGCTTTCCGACTCATCCTTGGTCCAAGGGAGTGGAGCTTTGGGGGTGCCCTGGGAGGTTCCAAGACGAAAAATAGGTAGAAAATACAGTATAAAGCTAGAGCTCTCAGATATTACTCACATCTCCCCAGAAGAAAGAAAAAATTCGAGCCCCAGCCTCCTTCTAGATCCCACTATCCCCTTTTAAATTGTGGGAGATCAGAATCTTCCCATTAGGGGAAACAGAGCTAATTGCCCCACAGACTGGTCACAGACAGACCTGTTCCTCAGCTTGTCTCAGCTCTGCATTTGGGGGGCAACCTAGGGTACTGAAAAGCTGAAACCCATTTCCTCTGTCCTGCCTTTATGCTGACTCAGGCAGCTTGGAAAATGGGAAAAGGGGTTTCCCAGCGACTCTAAAGGGTGCCTGGAGGAGAGTTGTCACAGCCCGACCCACCAGAGTACAGAAGTTTCAGCTTGTTTTGTAAAGCGCAGGGAGCCCAGTTGGCCCTGTTCTTCCACCCCACCTCCCAATCTGGTCCCGCTCCTGCCTACCTGTTGGCCTCTGCCCGGGTGATGGATATCCGTGGTGGGATCAGAAGCGGCAGCGTAGTGGGCCTTGATGGTAGTGGGACCCCAGGGTCGGAGGGCTCTGGTTCGGCCCAGCCCAGCCCAGGACCAGATGAGAGGCGGCGGCGAGGACGACGCAGGTCAGCCCCTAACATGTTGGCTCTGCCCGACTCAGGGGTCTCCCGGGGCCTCTGTGAAGGGACACCCGTGGGATGGGGGCGTGGCCTGGACTGCAAAAACTGAGACCCTCCCTCCAGGAACACTCCCACCAAGCCACCTGAGCGGTAGCTGATGGAAGTATAGGGTATAGCTCCTGTGTCCTCCTCGTGTCTGAGCCTCCCACCCCTTGAGCCACAGTATCTTCTGGGCCACTTTTGGATTCCCAGCCCTGGGCTCTGGGCCTCGCATCTCAACCATCTTTCTCTCTTGTGAGACTCTGATAAGACATCATCCTTTTAGGGTCTCTTCCCGCCCTCCGCGTATAAGAGGCCCCTTCTTGGCCTTMTGTCTTGACCCTCTCAGCTCCTCCACATCTGAGACTCTCAAGATCCCAGCCCTGTGCCCCTCCACCTTCTGGCCCAAATCCTTCCCCACCATTTGGGAAGCTCCAAGAAGGTCCTCTACCCCCGTGCTGAGTGTCTCTTAATTTGGGCAGCAGGAGAAAAGTGGAGTCAAGGGAGTAAASTGAGGCATAGGGGATGCGACTCCAGAAGAAGCTCAGGAAACAGCCGTGGTCAACAGAGGCCACCTCCCTCCCACTCCCCTGTCGCAGCCTAAGCTTCGCCTTCAGCCCAGGCCCCGCTTCTCGCACCTCGTCCCGGGTCCCGGCCACGGACAGGACACTGCGACTCCTCTTCATCCCTCCAACCTAGCGTGTCGTGGGGGCTTCGGGGGACATGTGGGCCCAGGTCATGGCCACCTGCAGGACCAAGCGAAGGATCCGCCATTAGCTCCCCGGGGCTCCCCCTGCCGGCCGGGCCAGGAACCCGCCCCTCGCCTATTGCCTCTCTCGAGGCGTGACGTCAGCAGGCTGCTGACGCACTGCCATTCAGTGACGTCGCCGACCGGTTGTCAGAACGACRGCTGACGCACGGCCGGGCTCTGGGCAGCGTCAATGCGCGGAATGGCCACTGGGGGGCCGGGAGGCTCGCGGCCCAGCCGCCCCAGCCCCCACCCTTCTTCCCGCGGGGGCTTCCCCGCCCGGGGATCCCACAGAGAAGTCTGGGAGCTCCCAGAGCTGGCCGCGTGCAGCGCGTGGTCCGAGCCGGGGACCGGAGGAAGCGTCTCCTCGGAGCTGTTGGGTTTTTATGCCTAAACCCGAAATAGCTCCGATGTGCGGGGGCCGGCCGCAGGGAGACGGCGGCTTTGGGCACAGATGGGGGACGCACAGGCAGAGGCGCGCGGAGACAGACAGGGACGTGTGGAAATAGAAACAGACAGACAGGGACACAGCTCGCGATGATGGGTGCGCTTTGCTGCCGCCGATCCTTGTCTAAAGGCTTGGGGGAGGGAGAGGCCGGCTCACTCAACCTTCACACCCAGGCACTGAAGATTTTTGCTTGGTGGCCATGAGTCACTGACTTAGAAACTCTTGAGTCTCAGTTTCTCATCTGTGAAAATGGGATGACAATGTGTATGGGTTCCACGTGAGAATGAACTAACAGCTGAGCTTGTGGGAAGCCTTTTGGAACCCAAGTCAGATCTGGCCTTCCTCWGCTGAGAAGCCTAGATGGCTTGCATAGCTTTGGTTTTCCTTTTGCTGTACAGAGAATTGAACCCAGGTGTGCCTTACCACTGAGCTACATCCCCAGCTCTATTTTATTTTGAGATAGGGTCTCACCAAATTGTCTAGATATTCTTCCTGCCTCAACCTCCTGAGTAGCAGGGACTCCAAGCATGCAACACTGCCCCGCTAAAAATTATTGCAGATTAGCTGGGTGTGGTAGCACGTCTGTTCTCACTGCTACTCAGGATGCTGAGGCAGGAGAATCACAAATTTGATGCCAATTTAGGAAATTTTAGTGAGACCTTGTCTCAGAATTAAAAAAAAAAAATGTTACAGACTATAGTTACCCAACTTTGCTATAGAATACCAGAACTAATTCTTCCTAACTGTACTTTTTTTTTTTTTCTTGCCTTATTGCAATATCTACGCTTCAGTTTAAGGTCTACTAGAAGTGAATGTAAACATTAACCCACTGGATGACAAAACAGTATCCATTAATCATGGGCCCCAAGTACAATTTCAAAGAATGTTGAAGGGAGGAAGGGAAAAAGAGGACACAGGGAGAGAAGGTGCAGAGAGGTAGAGAATAGGTCATGAATGTACA